CCCCATCAAACACTCCCAGGACAGGGACAGCACGGGGTTAGATACAGAGTAAAGCTCCCTGTACACTGCCCCAGGACTGTCCTGAGTTGCCTGCCCTCTTTGTTGTAACAACTCTTTGACTCCTGAACTAGTTGCAGATGTAGTGGGGACTCGACGGGAGAAATCCTCGGCAGGGTGTTTTTTTGTATTTCCTGGCAAGTGGGCAGAGACCTCCGCAGCGTTTGTGAGCCGGGTTTCAAACCGTGGGCGCAGCTGACTATTGCCCGTTGCCTTTTCAGGTACGTTCTGGGGCGCTACAGCACGATCTGATCAGGGCTCCTTCATGACAGACATTCGCACAAGAGGTGAGGCTTCCTATCAGCTGGACCTTGCTCCTTGGCATTTGGGCACCACGGCAGTGCCCCAGCCTCCCTGCGTACTGCATGGACTCCATTCCAATCACCCAGCCAGTTAGTTTGGCTGGAGAGGCATTAGCTGACCATCCTCGGAGTGGTTCTGAACATGCCCTGGTCCCAGTGGTCTCTCCGCCCCTAATGGAAGCCATATTTAGTAATAGGTAGAGGAGGCCTTGGGTCAAAAGCACAGATGCTCGCTGGAGCCATTCACGACTCCTCCAATACCGAAGCAGTCCGTGTCCAACCTCAGAAAGGTGTGGGCAATACCCGGGCCGGGGCTGGCGGGCAACATTCGCGCCACACAAGTGCCAAGTGGTGACCGTCTCCACGTCGAGGGAATCGAACCATCTCCCCTTCACGTTCTCGATCTCTGAATCCTCCCCACCCCGAATCAACCTCCTGGGGGGTTACCCTTCCGAGAAACCGAACTGGGCTTGCCGTATCTATGACACGGCTCCAGGAGCAGGTCAGAAGCTGGGAATGCTGCAGCGGGTGATTCTCCTCCTGACTTCCCAAGGCATGCGTCCCACCTTAGGAAGGGTATATTGGCATTGGAGGGAGTACAACGTGGGTTTTCCAAGAACGATGCCTACATTTCCGGGTTCAGGTTACGTGGAGCGATTACAAAAATTAGGCCAGTTTGTTGTAGAGTTTGGAAGGTTAAGGGGTGACCTGATTGAAGTCTTCAAGACATTAGCAGGAAAAGACAAGGTAAATAAAGATAAACCGTTTCCATTGGTTGGGGATTTGAGAACTAGGGGCGTAGTCTGAGAATTAGGGCCGGAGTGGTCAAGAGAGATGTTAGGAAGCACTTTGTCACCATTTGTGTGTTGAACGTTGGGAATTCTCTTCCACAAACAGCAGGATGAGTCGTTCATTTTAAATCTGAGATGGATAAAGTTTTGTTCAGCAATGGTACCAGAGAAATGGTTACCTCCATAGACAGGTCTATGGAGATAGGCCACAGATCAGCCAGGATCTCGTGGTGGAACAGGCTCGAGGGAATGAATGGCCTACTCCTGTTCCTATGTAGCGGTGGCTCAGTGGTTAGCACTGCTGCCTCACAGCGCAAGGGACCCGGGTTTGATTCCACCCTTGGGTGCCTGTCTGTGTGGGAGTTTGCACATTCTCCCCGTGTCTGCGTGGGTTTCCTCCGGGTGCTCCGGTTTCCTCCCACAGTCCAAAGATGAGCAGGTTAGGGTGGATTGGCCGTGCTAAATTACCCATAGTGCCCAGGGATGTGCAGGTTAGGGTGGGTTGGCTGTGCTAAATTACCCCATAGTGTTCAGGGATGTGCAGGTTAGGGTGGATTGGCCGTGCTAAATTGTCCCATAGTGTTCAGGGATGTGCATGTTAGGGTGGGTTGGCCATGCTAAATTGTCCCATAGTGCCCAGGGATGTGCAGGTTAGGGTGGATTGGCCGTGCTGAATTGTCCCATAGTGTTCAGGGGTGTGCAGGTTAGGGTGGATTGGCCGTGCTAAATTGTCCCATAGTGCCCAGGGATGTGCAGGTTAGGGTGGATTGGCTGTGCTAAATTGTCCCATAGTGCCCAGGGATGTGCGGGTTAGGGTGGATTGGCCGTGCTAAGTAGTCCCGTAGTGTCCAGGGATGTGCAGGTTAGGGTGAGTTAACCACTGGGGAATGCAGGGTTATAGGGATAGGGTGGGTCTGAGCGGGATACTGGTCAGAGGGTTAGTGTGCAGTCAGTGGGCCGAACGGCCTGCTTCCACATCGTAGGGATTCAGCAATTCAACGTACGTCAGGAGTGTGATGGAACACTGTACCATGGAGGTCTTGCGGCACGTTGTGGAGCGGTCCCCGTCCTCCGAGATGGAAGCTCCGGGTTCAAATCCCGCTCCGGGGTTCGACGGCCAGTGGGGGAAGATGTGCTCCTTCCCGTACCTTTGTAACTACATCCATCCACAAGTCCCTCCAGTGCAGGCCAGCGACAGGCCTTGAAACTGAGGGAGGTTCCTCATTGACCCCTGTCTGAGGCTGGAGACTGCGACAACGTGCCTTCTCAAAGCAAGCGATGTGTAACATCCTGTCATCGCTGTCCCCTCCCCTGGGCGGGTGTGGCTTCAACAACACTCGAGAAGCTCAACACTGTTCAGGAGAAAGCAGCGCCCCGCTGGATTGGCACCACATCCACAAACGTCCCACTCCCTCCACCACCGACGCTCAGTAGCAGCAGTGTGTACCATCTACAAGATGCGCTGCAGCAGCTCAGCAAGGCTCCTTTGAAAGCACCTTCCAATGCTGCGACCACTACCGTTGTCCTCCAGCCCCAGAGCAGGCCCAAGGTCCCGCACACGTACCAACTGGCATCAGCACAAGTTGGCATCTAGTTCCACGTGAACCTTGGAGTCCCATGCACAGCCAGGAAAGAAATTAGAGAGAGCTTTGACCATCACCATCTAGAAGGACAGGGGCAGCAGATACATGGGATCTCTGCCCCCTGCAAGTTCCCCTGTGAAGGCCCACGCCATCCTGAACTTGGGAATATATATCGCTGCTCCTTCGGCGTCGCTGGGTCAAAATCCCGGAACTCCCTCACCCTAATGGCATCGTGTCCCTACACCGTTTGGACTGCAGCGGCTCAAGAAGACGGCTCACCCCATCATCACTGTCTCCCGGGGGCAATTAGGGACGACAGGCTTTGTGAACAATATCCACATTTTGTGGAAAAGTAAACAAATTACCAGAGTGTGCAAATCATCAGAAAACGGCACAGTGCCAGATGGCTTGCAAACGTTTAAGGTGGTTCCTGTTGGGAAGTTAATTCAATCCTTACACAAAAAGATGTCATTGAAAAAGATTGAGGAAGCAAATTGTTATCGGGTAAAGAGGTGCAAATGGCCAGAAGGGAAGGACGCCCTTAATTAATCTGATTAAATTCTCCAAGGGTAGATATCAGTAATATAGACAATGGAATGTATGCAGAATGTGCAAAGATGTTCCATAAGGCACTGTACAGAAGATTGAGATCAGTATATCTGGAATTGGGACAAGAATACTGCGTTCAATTTGTGTTTCCCTGGTACAGGAAGGATGTTGTGAAACTTGAAAGGGTGCAGGTAAGATTTACAAGGATGTTGGCAGGTTTCGGGCTGAATAGACTGGGGCTATTTTACCTGGAGCGTTGGGTGACCTTGTAGAAATTTATAAAATCATGAGGAGCATGGATAGGGTGAGTAGCCAAAGTCATTTTTTACCCAGGGGTGGGGAGTCCAAAACTAGAGGGGCATAGGGTTTAAGGTGAGAGGGGAAAGATTTAAAAGGGACCTGAGGAGCAATATTTTCACGCGGAGGGTGGTGCGTGTATGGAACGAGCTGCCAGAGGAAGTGGTGGAGGCTGGTACAATTACAGCATTTAAAAGGCATCTGGATGGGGCCAAACGCTGGCAAATGGGACCAGTTCAGTTTGGGAAACTTGGTCAGCATGGACGAGTTGGGCCACAGGGCCTGACTCGATGCTGTACGACTCTGTTACCAAACTGAACTAGTCCCATTTGCCAGCATTCGGCCCCTATCCCTCTATTCCTGTATGTGCCCAAACATCTTTTAAATGCCTAAATTTGTACCCACCTCTACCACTTCCTCGGACAGCTCGTTCCACATGCGCACCACCCTCTGCGTGAAAAAACTTTCCTCTCCGGTCCCTTTAAAATCCTTTCCCCTCCCTCCAGCGAGAGAGCTTGGGGAAATGAATAGCGATATCTTGAAGAGCATCCATATTACAGAGGGAGAGGTGCTGGACTCGAATAAGCAAATGTGATTTGACCAGGTCCAGAATGCAGTCACCTAAATATTGCAAATATTTTCCAGCCATGCCGATGGAAGGTTCTGGAAGACAAGACCGTGGCTCCTTGAGATCTGAACAGCATGTGAGAGGTACAGTTTCCAATTCACAACATGTAGCCCTCCCTGCTCCCCACAAACAAACAGCGTCTGGTCCATATGGCTTTATGTTTAGACATGTTAAAAGCAATTTGGGAACAGCTGGCAGAGACTTTGCTTTTTAAAAAAAAAACACTCCGAAAGGCGAATAGGAGAAAGGAAAAATCTAGGGCACAAGATAGTCAGGCGATAATGGAATCCTTACTCGAAGATCTTAACAAAGGCATCAAAGAACCTAAAATATAATAAACAGTCAGAACAGATCCCAAAAGTGCAGATCGCATTTGATCAATCTTATTATGGAGGGCTGGTTAAGGGTAACATGCTAGATGTAAAGTATTTGGATCTTCAAAAGTCCTGGTGTGGATGCCTTGTCTCCATTCATATCAGAGGTAATTTGGGAAGAAAGGAAGGATATTATTAAACTGGAGAAGGTTCAGAGTTTTTGAGTTACGAGGAGAGGCTGGATAGGCTCGCACTCTTTTTCACTGGAACATAGGAGGTTGACAGGCGACCTTATACAAGTTTATAAAATCATGAGGGGTATAGATAGAGTTAATGATAGTTGTCTTCCCCCTAGGATGGGGGATTTCAAGACGAGGGGGCATGTTTTTAAGGTCGGAGGAGAGTAATTCAAAAAAGACTTGAGAGGCAATTATTTTTTACACAGAGGGTGGTTCGCGTGTGGAATGAACTTCCTGAGGATATGGGTACAGTTACAATGTTTAAAAGACATTTGGATAAGGACATGAATAGGAAATGTTTAGAGGGATATGGTCCAGGAGCAGGCAGGTGGGACTAGTTTAGTTTGGGATTATGGTCAGCATGGACTGGTTGGACCGAAGGGTCTGTTTCCGTGCTGTATGGCTCTGAGAAATAGCAAAGACACTGTGTAAAGCATACCAAAAGCAAAATTAGCCCTAGAGGAACAGCAGACAGAGAAGGTGAGTCCTGGATTTATACAGGAAGATGGAATATGCTGACAATTTGGATTTGGGATTTGGCAGTCGCATTTCAATCTGTCCAACGTGACCTGAAATTGGGGGATCTAGTAAATAGAGGGGGGGGGCCAACGGGAAGACATGGAAAACAAGCAGGAGGACTGCAGCTGAATTTCAAGATGAATAAACGATTTGTTGGGACGGATAAGGAGGTCGGACACTGTTTGGAAAATGAGTGTAAATGGAGGAGAGGAACAGAGGTCACGCATTGATAAGACCCCAAAATAGAAACGAAACTGAGATTCATTTGTAGAAAAGCAGAGAAGTGATTTTTTTTTTTTAAGTTGTATCAGACCTTGGTTAAAACTACACTTTGGGAGTTTTTATTTTCTAAATTAATTCAGGGGATGTGTCCATCACTTGCGTGACCCTAATTGCCTCTTGCAAAGGTGGTGCTGAGCTGCCTTTTGCTCAGCAGCTTAAGTTTTGGTCTCCATATTATTAATGTTCTTGGAGGTGCAAAAAGAGAGGGATCCCAGAGCTGAGAGTTTGCACCCACCAGAAAAGACTGAACAGGTTGCAGTTCCTTTCTCTACAAGAGAGGGGGTCATGGGCACAATCTGATCAAGACCTTTAAAATGAGGGCTTTTAGTGTGGCTGACAGAGAGAAGATTGTAAGGGGAGAGCAGAACTTGGGGCTCATCGACAGAAGACAGTAACTGCCGAATCCAATCAGGAATTCCGGAGAAACGTCTTTACTCCGAGAACGGGAAGGAAGTGGAGCTCCACCTGCACATCTGCCAATGTGGTATACTGCATCCGCTGTACCCAGTGTGGCCTCCTCTACATCGGGGAAACCAAGCGGAGGCTCGGGGACCG